CCCTCCCTAAACCCAAAAGCCTGGGACACTGATATTGCACCAGCCAGAGGTCATGTCAGTTGACAGCTTGAATGACAGTGTAGGGCAGGTGCAGCTCAGAGTGAGGCAAATCCTTGCCAATCATGCTGAGGGGGAAAGATGACTCTGAAACTAGGAGAAACACCGAAGGATGCCCTTCCTGACCCTCCCATCAAACAAGGGCCTCCAAATCCCTGCCTTTCTGATATATATTATTATTATTATTGAGACAGGGTCTTGCTCTGTCGCCAAGGCTGGAGTGCAGTGGCACAATCTCAGTTCACTGCAACCTCCACCTCTCAGGTTCAAGTGATTCTCCTGCCTGGGCATCCAGAGTAGTTGGGATTACAAATGTGTGTCATATACCCTGCTAAGTTTTGTATTTTTAGTAGAGATGTGGTTTCACCATGTTGGGCAGGCTGGGATTGACCTTAAGTGATCCAACCGCCTTGGCCTCCTAAAGCGTTGGGATTACAGGTGTGAGCTACCGTGCCCGGCCCCATCTCTTCTGATACCACCTTTTGGTAAGGCAGCTTCACTTACAGAGGAGGAGTCATTACATACAGCTGGAACAAGATGCGTCTCATGGTCCTCTTGGAAACTGCTTTAGAAACTTCTCACTGCTCCAGTTTTCTGTAGCACCTCCTGGAGGCTGGCCAGTGTCAACTAACTTCTGGAAAAGCAGTTTACCATCCCTGTATTTGCAGCCAACAAGGTAATTAATTGTGTCAAAGGATGTCAAAAAAGCCTCCAAATAAGTGAAAATAAAAATAATGAAAATTCTTTTGGGAAAGAAAACATTTTGGGAGAGATGGAAAGCAAAGTGATTGTGAAATTAAATAGTGATATGGTAGCAACTCAATGATTACAAATTCTAAACTTGCAATACTGTCCTGAAGAAAACAATTCATATCCATTTAGCTTGCTTGGTATACTACTACCTAGAATGGGCATCTTTCTTAAAAATAAAAGACTAATGACATTCAAGGCCACTATTAGAGTGAAGATCCCACGTACAGGGGCAGATTCCAGGCACTCTTTGGCCTCTCAGAGGCCTTGTCTTCCACAAGTATCTCAAACTAAACACAAAATACTCTTTTTTTGAGATGGAGTTTTGCTCTTGTCACCCAGGCTGGCATGAAGTAATGTGATCTTGGCTCACTGCAACCTCTGCCTCCCAGGTTCAAGTGATTCTCATGCCTCAGCCTCCCGAGTAGCTGGGACTATAGATGTGTACCACCATACCCAGCTAAGTTTTATATTTTTAGTAGAGATGAGGTTTCACCATGTTGACCAGGTTGGTCTTGAACTCCTGACCTCAGGTGATCCGCCTGCCTTGGCTTCCCAAAGTGTTGGGATTACAGGCGTGAGCCTGTAATTATTGAAAAATTACTGAGAAACTTTATACTCATTTTATTCAACCTTGATAATTAAGAAAACCCCATGAAATGAGTATTATTCTCCCGCTTAGCAATGAAAATATCCAGATATGGAGAATACAAGTCATTTACCAAGCTTCCCATGCTTAAACACTGGCAAACCTGGTATTTAACCACCTAAGTGTAACTCCAGATGCTGGCTCTTCATTTTTCTATTGCTTCCAGCATTAACACCTTGCCTTCTGACCCTCTCTTTTTATTCTTCCACAAGGTATTTAGATAATTAATAATTATCTAATTATTCAAAAGTGACTGTCAGTCCCTTTTTTAGTGTATTCTTTAATTTTTAGGTTTTTTTTTTTTGGTTTGTTTGCTTAGACAGGGCCTGGCTCTGTCACCCAGGCTGGAGTGCAGTGGCGCAATCACAGCTCACTGCAACCTCAACCTTCTGGGCTCAAGTGATCCTCCCACCTCAGCTTCTCAAGTGACTGAGATCCACAAACACGCGTGATCATGCCTGGCTCATTTTTAAATTTTTGTAGAGACAGGGTATCCGTATGTTACCCAGTCTGGTTTCAAACTACTGAGCTCAAGCAATCCTCCCACCATGGACTCCCTAAGTTTTGGGATTAGAGGCATGAGCCATGACGCCTGACCTGTGTATATTTTCAAACAGAATTTTAAAACTTTTTTTGAACTTTATAAATCTTTGCGTTAGTTTTTTTTTTTTTCTTGAGAAAGTCTCACTCTGTCACCCAGGGTGGAGTGCAGTGGCACAATCTCGGCTCACTGCAGCCTCTACCTCCCAGGTTCAAGAGATTCTCAAGCCTCAGCCTCCAGAGCAGCTATGGGATTACAGGCATGTACCACCATGACCAATTTTTGTATTTTGTAGTTTCTAAAGTTACGTTTTATCTCTAAAATTTTAATCAAACTAACATAACCCAATTGAGAGTCACCAAGGAACTAATTACTAACAAAATATGTATAATAAAATTGTCCCTTCTAGGCCAGGTGCAGTGGCTCACACATGTAATCCCAGCATTTTGGGAGGCTGAGGCAGGCAGATCATGAGGTCAGGAGATCGAGACCATCCTGGCCAACATGGTGAAAACCCATCTCTACTAAAAAATACAAAAAACTAGCTGAGTGTGGTGGTGCACGCCTGTAGTCCCAGCTACTCGGGAGGCTGAGGCAGGAGAATCGCTTGAACCTGGGAGACAGAGGTTGCAGTGAGCCAAGATCGCACCACTGCACTCCAGCCTGGCAACAGAGCAAGATTCTGTCTTATAAAAACAAACAAACAAACAAACAAAAAACCTGTCCCCTAGAAAATTCCATTTGACCCAGCAATCCCATTACTGGGTATATATCCAAAGGATTATAAATCGTTCTACTATAAGGACACATGTACATGAATGTTCATTGTAGCACTGTTTACAATAGCAAAGACTTGGAACCAACCCAAATGCCCATTGATGATAGACTGGACTGGGAAAATGTAGCATATATACACCATGGAATATTATGCAGCCATCAAAAACGATGTGTTCATGTCCTTTGTAGGGACATGGATGGACCTGGAGACCACCATTCTCAGCAAACTGACACAAGAACAGAAAATGAAATACCGCATGTTCTCACTCATAGGAGGGTGTTGAACAATGAGAACACATGGACACAGGAAGGGGAGCACTACACACTGGGGTGTGATGCGGGGAATGGGGAGGGACAGCGGGAGATGGGGAGTTGGGGAAAGATAGCATGGGGAGAAATGCCAGATATAGGTGAAAGGGAGGAAGGCAGCAAATCACACTGCCACAGGTGTACCTATGCAACTATCTTGCATGTTCTTCACATGTACCCCAAAACCTAAAATGCAATAAAAAAAAAAACCTGTCCCTTCTGTTCACATGCTGGTCTTTTTCTCTCCCACTTCTTGCAAGGCCTTCAGATCTCCTCCCCAAAACTAAGGAGGTGCTAAAGGATGTGAAAAAATGACAATCCAGAACATTTTTGAGTGGGCTTAGGTGTTTACTGAGTAAAAACAGGATTTTGCGGGAGGGAGTAAAGGCAAAATGATGCTTCTTAGATGTTAGCTTATTTTAAAAAATTGCTTTTTGTAACCTGATCCAATAGCTTTTCCATCATGTTTTTTTTTTTTTCCTCTTTTGGCAGTAGAGACAGGGGGTCTTGCTATGTTGCTCAAGCTGGTCTTGAACTGCTGGCCTTAAGCGATCCTCCTGCCTCAGCCTCCCAATGTGCTTGGATTACAGTGTAAGTCACTGAACCTAGCCCCACCATGCCTTTAAATGTTCAATGCACAGAACATTTAACATTGGATGGAGGCCAATAGTCCCTTTCAATCAGGTTTAAAAAAAAGTAATGCAAAAGATGGAAGAATTTATTTACTGTCATTATGCAATAATTTACTTTAAAATGCTTTAAATATAAACTGTGTAATATATGTGTGCTGTGTAAGTTAACTTCAATCTTGTTCTGAGGGTAAGTTAGATACTATTTGAAGCACCCCAACCAGATGGCTAGGCAGATGCTTTAAACACTTATCTAAATATATGCCAGAGTGTTCATCAGCATAAGGGATATCAGAGTAATTTTTCATCGGTGAATGCAGCCCGAAAAGTAGGTGGTTGTCTACACTTTTAGAGGCAAAATGCATGCAATGAAGTGTAAGAATCTGACAGATCCTGCAAAATAATGACTTTTGATATTTCCTCAGGACGAGAGATCTCTTTGCTTCTGTACCTTCCCCCTCCAGGACTCCACACACATTTATGATTGTTGCCTGATGCAACCAGGCAATTAGGTTTCTTAATTCTGCTTTCAGAATATCATTGCTTCTGCTTCACTGTAAACCTTTTAGTCAAGGTGTGTGTAGGGTTACTTAACAGCAGAGAAGGAACTTTCCCAAGGTTTCCAGAAGCCCTGCTTGCTAATAAACTTGTCATGTAAGATAAGTGTTTTAGATTTGCTTTGATTGTAACACACCACGAGGTGGTGAGGTTATGTAGGAGGGAGGACACATACAGCCCTATCTTCCTGTAATAGCTAGAGGTACCACCAAACAGCCCTGTGATTGGTGACTAAATTGGCCTAGATAGTTTGCAATGGTGTAGAAAGGAAACTAAAAGCCCATTCACTCTCATTTCAGGCTGAGGGGCATATTTGATTCCTGAACGCCTCCACTTAATGTAGTGTGAATACTGACGACTTCTTTAAGGTCTGCCACTCAATACAGATTTTCCAAGTGCTGGCCAAAAAGCAATCCAGCCATTGTAAAGGTCAGGGTCATTCTCTGGCAGCGTTGTTCTTAACACAATATGATTAAGAATTTTATACCACTTCTAATGAAAACTCGATTACTTAGAAGGCTTTCAGTTTGCTAATGATTGCAAAAGTTTGAAAACGTAAATGAAAAAGAAAAACAGCCAAAATAGACCTACTGCTCTAAATTTTAAATAAAGCTATCCTACATGCTAAATCGACAGGAGGCTGGGAAAATGTCACTGAGTTAAATGAAGGACAATTTGAAGACTCAAGACTCAATCTGAGTTAAGTTATAACATATGAGAAACCTAAAAGTAAAACTATGTCAACATTTTATTTGGTGTTTCATGCTACGTTGATTTAAACAAATAAAACAACTTTGTTCAACAGATTTCTTTTTTTAATATAATGACTGTGTACATGGGCAACTGAAAATAGGGAAAACCCCCAAATGAATGTTTTAAGAAATTACAAGCTGTTACTAAAGACCATATGCTTGGATTAAAAAAAAAAAGTCCAATAGATAAAGTCTCATTCAATCTAGCAGTTTAACCAATTTCTCTTTTAATAAAACCTGCACATTACAGTGGTATAAATTTACTTTTAACACTCCAGGTATAAACATGTGCACCCTCTTCTTCTACATTTAATCATTAGTAGTCTCTAATATGGTAAAATAAAATTGAATTTATATTAGCAAATGAAAGTGCAAGTTTATACAGCCAGGCTCAGCAGCAAAAGTGAAGAATAAGAATGACAGGTGAAAGCTGACAGATGCCACGCAGAACAAGGACTTCCATGAAGGGCTGTGTCCTGTGTGCCAAACACAGTCAACATTCCATCATTTTTATCATTGCTCTTAAACGAGCAAAACCAAATTCTTTTTTTATTTAAAGAAATATTAAATCTTTATTTCCCCCAACATAATTCGTGATCAGGTAAGGCAAAGATAAGTCCACCATCACTGGGGACAGCAGCAACATACAGACTTCAGAAATAGCCCTGAATCGTCAGCAACATTCTCTCACGTAACATTAGAAGAAATGCATCTAACAAATTAAATTTGTAATGTTGTCACATTGTTCTAACTTATTTGATTAGTTCATATGGAAAACCTTTATAAATACATTAAGAGGACAGTAAATTATTTTCTTGCCCTGAAAAAATAATGTTTTTTTTTCACATTTTAAAACATTTTAGTATGCTTTTGCAAAAGGAGTTGCATGAAAAATGTGACAGCTTAGTTTGCAGAATGTCCATGTACAAGTTGTATTTATAAGAACCTGGTAATCTGCCTATAATTTGCCTCTACAAATAGAGCTCTTTGCAATAATAATTAAACAAACAGGTTTAAACTCTTCCCCTATTCATTCTACTTGTAGAGCAAAGAGGTACTTATTTTTCAAGTATTATATTATAAAAGGTAATTTTTTTTTGCCAATTTTACATGTTAAGCTTTTAAGACCAAAAAAAATCATGCTTAGTCAGCCCATTTCTTTTATAGCCAAATGCTCGTCTTTTAAAGAATGCAGAAAAATATTGATTTGCTAAGAAGGAGCACACTGGAAAAAGCTATTTGAAAGTATTGAAGAATGAGAAGTATTTCCTTTTTTCTATTGATGAAAATTATTAGAAAATCTATTGTCTGTTGTCTTTAGCTAGTTTTAATAAATCTTTTCAAAATGATGGTCAAGAACTCTTTAGAAAACTGGAGGAGGGGATGCTCCTTTATAGCATGAAAGGAATTCCATTAATTGTAGAAATTCTCATTATATTTCAGCTTTGGTTCTTCAGAAGAAATACTCATATAACTTCTATATGAAGAAACAGAAAAAGAACAGGTTAATATAACATCTAAAATCTTATTTCAAGAATACTATAGTAATATCTTAAATTTTTAAAATTTACTATACTGTTATATACACTTATATAAGGATAGGCAATTTTGTTAGGATTCACAGTCTTATATTTAGGTGAATTCTGTTACTCATAGGAAAAACATGTTCTTTTCTTTACATCAGCTTAGGCCATAGCCTTCATTTTTCCAAGTGGCATACACAGACTGTACTTTTCTCGGTTAGGGGTTTAAACATTCATTTTCTCTTGTATCCTCAGTACCCAATGCTTAGGGATCTAAACATGTTGGAGGTTTAATAAATATTGATAAATCATCTGGAAGTTCTTTCCCTTCCTGTAAATCTGTAACATAAGCAGGAAGCTGCATTGGGCATGTTTCCACTAACATACCATTAGTTGGACTGTTCCCAAAAGCTTAAGAATCAGAAAGTGAGACAGGGGAGGGCCCTTACAACCTCCTTTCAAATCCTAGAAAAGTGGAGTTCATTCACTAAAGTGTAATTCTACTTCCAAGGTCAGTACACTAGAGGAGAAGAGAAGAGTGGCTTCCTTTGGATGGGTGGTTCACACTGGCTATTTCACCCCATTAAAAATTGATTTATTACAGATTCACTGATGAAATCTAAAAGGCAAAACAATTTGCCCACAAATAATTCTATACTGTCTTCATTTGTATATCCTGAATTTGGCCAGTTCTTTTCATAGTTAAATATAAAGAGATGCTGGTTAATACATGAAAGTCATCTGCAGGGAAGAGTAGTCAACAAAATTGAAACAGGTTTGAAGAGATAGGGAGCTGAGATTATCCTGAAAAGTCCTGAGACTGATGGGATTGAGTTGCTGAGCTGCTATGACCATTGAGTTAGTAATACATGATATTACTCCTTATTTCTTTGGGTCCTGATTGTTCTTTTTGCACAAAGACTTCAGGTCAAGTGTGGGTCAAAGAGACATTGTATAAGATATAAAGTCACAGGCACTTTCAACAGCAACAAAATCATTTAACAAGGAAAGATTCTTAGACTCAGTGTGATCCCATTCAGAGAACTGGTGTCATCACCTAAATCTTAAGTATCCATTATGTCACATTTTAAAAGGATAATAATTTATCACCCAGGTTGCCAAACCCAAATAAGAGAAAAATGGTGGGAGAATATGATGGCAGTCTTCAAATATATGAAGACCTGAGAAAGATGGAAAAAACTCAAATCTTTCTCCAGAGGGCAGCACTAGGCCAGATGGTCCATAGATTGTGGGGAGGCAGCCTTGTCTTTCTACAAAGCACATTCTGACCATGTGTGATGTTGGGCAGTGGGTGCTGCTTTGTGCAGGGAGGCTGACGGACACCCAGTGGGTGCTGCCAACTGGATTTCTGCAGTGACCGAGAGAATAGGAGAGGCCTTAGAAGTTGGCCAATCCAACTCAAAATTCAATCTCTATGAGCCAGGCACAATCTTTTCCACAGTGTCTTACTTGGTCCTTCGAAGAACAAAGTGTTACCACAATCACACTGTAGAAGGCAGTCCTCCTGGTGTCATGTCCTCCTGGTGTCAGATATTTCTGATGACTACAGAAGGGAGCTGGAGGCAAGCTTACCTGCAGTCTGTTGTGTTTGGACACCATCTACCTGAGGCAGGGGCCCAAGTGTCCCTTCATCATCAAAGGCCAAAATTGGATTCAAAGGAATTTCTGGGCTCTCACTATTGGTGACATCTAATCTGGATGCTTTAGATCCAATAGGTAAGTTTATAATTTCTTCAAAATTTTCATTCTGAACAGATACTCCATTTTCATTTGGTTGTTTTTCCAAGTCGGGAGTGCTAAGCAATTTGAAAAATAAAAATGGAAATAAATTAGTCTTAACACTGGAAAACACATTATTAGGAAAACCAAAGTGTTTTATAATGAACACTTTTATAAATCTACAATTTAAAAAATCAGACTGATGAGTCAAACCATTATTAGTAAAAGTAATAAACTGTAGGGTTGAACGACTCAAGATGATGCGGTGAGAACAACCCAGGATTGAAGCTCTCAGTGAATGCGCGGAGGGTGAGTCAGGGCCACGTTTCCAGATGGATCTTTGTTGCCCACAGAACAGGGAAATTAACAGGTATAGGAGAAACACGGGATGCCAGTGCAGCGGTTTTGGCTGGTGCAACTGGCGGCCGGTGCCACAGCACAGCGGCACTCCACAGCGCTCCGCACAAAGCACACTGGTCCGGGTGCCCTGTTGAACTGGCAATCTGAGACTTGGGAGGGCAGACTGGCATATCCATCTGATTGAACGGGACTTGGACAGTGAGCCAGGCCAGGAGATTCCAGGGAAACGGCGTTTGGGCCAGCGCAGTGGGACAAACAAAATGGCAATTCCAAACGCTCTGGGTGGAGAGTTTCAATGCGGGCACAGCTGAACCCAGGACGGTGCAGCCTGGTGGGGGAGGGGCATCCGCCATTACCGAGGCAATCCGTCTGTACTGAGGTACACTCCCATTGCTGATGCAGCTTGCCATTGCCGAGGCAATCCGCCACAACAGAGAGACTCCGCCGCAGGGCGTAGCCTGTGGCAGCAGGGTGAAGACCGCAGCAGCAGGACAGAGCCTGCAGCAACAGGGTAGACCTCACACCAGCAGGGTGGAGCCTTGGCAGGTAAATAGTGACTAGACTGCCTCCTAGCTGGGCAGGACAGCGCAACAGTCACTCATAAAGAAAGCCCCAACCCCCCGAGACAGAGCATCTGAGAAAAAAAAAGGTTTTTTTTTATGAGTTCTGTTACAGCAGAATTAAACATAGCAGCCTAACAACCCTGAATGAACAACAGAGCTCACAGCTCAGCACTTGAGCTCCTATAAAGTACAGACTGTCTCCTCAAGCAGCTCCCTGACCCCTGTACATACAAAAGACTGACATTTGGCAGGCATCATTCTGGGACAAAGACAGCAGAAAAAGAAACTGGTAGAATCCCTCACTGTTCCGCAGCTGCTATAGGTGCACCCCAGACAAGCAGGGCCTGGAGTGGACCTCAGCAGTCGTACAGTGGAGGGGCTAGACTGGTAGAAGGAAAACCAAGTAACAGAAATACTTCATCATCAACAATCTGGGCATCCACTCAGAGACGCAATCGAAAAGTCAGACACTACTCAGACGACAGGTGGATAAATCCACAAAGATGGGAAGAAACCAGTGCAAAAAAGAGGAACACACCCGAAACCAGAACACCTCCCCTCCTACAAAGGACCAAAACTCCTCACCAGCAAGGGAACAAAGCTGGACAGAGAATGACTGTGACGAAATGATGGAATTAGACTTCAGAAGGTGGATAATGAGAAACTTTCGTGAGCTAAAAGAACATGTTTTAAATCAATGCAAAGAAACTAAGAACCTTGAAAAAAGATTCGAGGAAATGATAACAAGAATGGATAACTTAGAGAGGAATATGAATGAATTGAAGAAGCTGAAAAACACAACACGAGAACTTCGTGAAGCATGCACAAGTTTCAATAGCCGAATTGACCAAGCAAAAGAAAGAATATCAGAAGTCGAAGAACAACTCAATGAAATAAAACGAGAAACCAAGATTAGAGAAAAAAGCACAAAAAGGAATGAACAAAGTCTCTAAGAAATGTGTGACTATGTGAAGAGACCTAACCTACGTTTGATAGGTGTACCAGAAGGTGATGAAGAGAATGAATCCAAGCTGGAAAATACTCTTCAGGATATTATCCAGGAAAATTTCCCCACCTAGCAAGGCAGGCCAACACTCAAATCCAGGAAATACAGAGAACACCACAAAGATATTCCGCAAGAAGAGCAACCCCAAGGCACATAATCGTCAGATTCAACAGGGTTGAAATAAAGGAGAAAAATACTAAGGACAGCCAGAGAAAAAGGTCGGGTCACCCACAAAGGGAAGCCCATCAGACTCACAGCAGATCTCTCAGCAGAAACTCTACAAGCCAGAAGACAGTGGGGGCCAATATTCAACATCCTTAAAGAAAAGAACTTTCAACCCAGAATTTCATATCCAGCCAAACTGAGCTTCATAAGTGAAGGAAAAATAAAATCCTTTGTGAACAAGCAAGTACTCAGAGATTTTGTCACCATCAGGCCTGCTTTATAAGAGCTCCTCAAAGAGGCACTACACATAGAAAGGAACAACCAGTACCAGCCATTCCAAAATCACACTAAATGCTAAAGAGCATCAACATAATGAAGAATCTACATCCACTAATGGGCAAAACAGCCAGCTAGCATCAAAATGGCAGTATCAAATACACACGTAACAATATTAACCCTAAATGTAAATGGGCTAAATGCACGAATCAAAAGACACAGACTGACAAATTGGATGAAAAACCAAAACCCATCAGTGTGCTGTATCCAGGAAACCCATCTCACATCCAAGGATACACAAAGGCTCAAAATAAAGGGATGGAGGAAGATTTACCAAGCAAATGGAGAGCAAAAAAAAAAAGCAGGAGTTGCAATTCTCCTCTCTGATAAAATAGACTTTAAAGCAACAAAGATCAAATGAGACAAAGAAGGTCATTACATAATGGTAAAAGGATAGATACAACAAGAAGAGCTAACGATCCTAAACATATATGGACCCAATACAGGAGCACCCAGATACATAAGGCAAGTTCTTAATGACTTACAAAGAGACTTAGACTCCCACACAATAATAGTGGGAGACTTTAACACTCCACTGTCAATATTAGACAGATCAACCAGACAGAAAATCAACAAGGATATCCAGGGCTTGAACTCAGACCTGGAACAAGCAAACCTGATAGACATTTACAGAACTCTCCACCCCAAATCCACAGAATATACATTCTTCTCAGCACCACATCACACCTACTCTAAAATTGACCACATAATTGGAAGTAAAGCACTCCTCAGCAAATGCAAAACAACTGAAATCATAATAAACAGTCTCTCAGACCATAGTGCAATCAAGTTAGAACTCAGAATTCAGAAATCAACCCAGAACCGCACAGCTTCATGGAAACTGAACAACTGGCTCTTGAATGTTGACTGGATAAACAATGAAATGAAGGCAGAAATAAAGAAGTTCTTCGAAACCAATGAGAACGAAGACACAACATGCCAGAATCTCTGGGACACATTTAAAGCAGTCTCTAGAGGAAAATATATAGCAATAAGTGCCCATATGAGGAGAATGGAGAGATCCAAAATTGACACCCTATCGTCAAAATTGAAAGAGCTAGAGGAGCAAGATCAAAAAAACTCAAAACCTAGCAGAAGACAAGAAATAACTAAGATCAGAGCAGAACTGAAGGAGATAGAGACATGAAAAACACTTCAAAAAATCACTAAATCCAAGAGCTGGTTTTTTGAAAAGATCAACAAAATAGACAGACCACTAGCCAGATTGATTAAAAAGAAAAGAGAGAACAACCAAATAGATGCAATAACAAATGATAAAGGGGAAATCACCACAGATTCCACAGAAATTCAAACCATCATCAGAGAATATTACAAACAACTCTATGCACATGAACTAGTAAACCTGGAAGAAATGGATAAATTCCTGGACTCCTGTGTCCTCCCAAGCCTAACCAGGAGGAAGCTGAAACTATGAATAGACCAATAGCAAGGTCTGAAGTTGAGGCAGCAATTAATAGCCTACCACACAAAAAAAGCCCAGGTCCAGATGGGTTCACAGCCGAATTCCACCAGACACACAAAGAGGAGCTGGTACCATTCCTTCTGAAACTATTCCAAATAATCCAAAAAGAGGGAATCCTTCCCAAATCATTTTATGAGACCAACATCATCCTGATACCAAAACCCGGCAGAGACCCAACAAGAAAAGAGAACTTCAGGCCAATATCCATGATGAACATAGATGCAAAAATCTTCAATAAAATATTGGCAAGCCGATTGCAACAGCAAATCAAAAAACTTATCCATCATGATCAAGTAGGATTCATCCCGGGGATGCAAGGCTGGTTCAACATACGCAAGTCTATAAACATAATTCACCACATAAACAGAACCAAAAACAAAAACCACATGATTATCTCAATTGAGGCAGAGAAGGCATTTGACAAAATTCAACAGCCCTTTATGCTAAAAACCCTCAATAAACTCGGTATCGATGGAACGTATCTCAAAGCAATAAAAGATATTTACGACAAACCAACAGCCAATATCATACTGAATGGGCAACAACTGGAAGCATTCCCTTTGAAATCCAGCACTAGACAAGGATGCCCTCTTTCACCACTCCTATTCAATATAGTACTGGAAGTTCTAGTCAGAGCAATCAGGCAAGAAAAATAAATAAAGGGTATTCAAATAGGAAAGGAGGAAGCCAAATTGTCTCTATTTGCAGACAACATGATAGTATACCTAGAAGACCCCATTGCCTCAGCCCAAAAACTCCTGAAACTGATAAGCAACTTCAGCAAAGTCTCAGGATATAAAATCAATGTGCAAAAATCACAGGCATTCCTCTACACCAATAAAAGACTTAAAGAAAGCCAAATCAAGAACGAACTGCCATTCACAATTGCTACAAAAAGAATAAAATACCCGGGAATACAACTCACAAGGAACGTAAGGGACCTCTTCAAGGAAAACTATAAACCACTGCTCAATGAAATAAGAGAGGACACAAACAGATGGAGAAACATTCCATGTTCATGGTTAGGAAGAATTAATATCGTGAAAATGGCTATACTGCCCAAAGTAATTTACAGAATCAACGCTATCCCCATCAAGCTACCATCGACTTTCTTCACAGAACTGGAAAAAACCACCATGAACTTCATATGGAACCAAAAGAGGG